TCTCACTCATCATGTATGTATGAATGAGAATCTGGGAAGAACATTAGGAGAATTGTGTACCCAGAAAATGTCTGGCACTAGTAGGAACTTAGTAAGTACATTTTAAATAATTGAAATTAATTAAATTATATAAAATAAAATTAGACAGAGGGAACAAGTGCAGGAAATGTAGAAAACATTTGAAAAGCTCATATATGTAGTAGAATCTCATGCACGGTAATAGAACATCTCATGATGACTACTTCGAAAGTGTCACTTGTAAAGACTAGGTGTTCTTAATGTGTTTTATATTTACTTTAAGAATTATAATTACTGGGGCCAGTAAGTGGTGTGGTAGTTAAGGCCCTGGACTCCCACATGGTCAACTGTAGTTCAAGCCCCAGACTTGGTCATTTGCTTTCTCACTTTCCCTCTCTCTCTCTGTCTGTCTCTGTCTCTGTCTCTCTCTCTCTGGTGAGTGCACATGCCCTATAGCAAATTTAAATAATAATAATAATTAAATTAAATAAACAATTCATTTTTTAAAAAGAATGAATAATTACCAGATACTCATTTTAATGCAGTTTTCAGTTCATTGTTGACTAAGTGTAAGCTATGTATCATAAAATTTATGTACTAGCTTCTAGCTAGAACTAACGCTTTCCAGTAATAAACCAAAATGACGAACACAAAAGAGAAGCACCTGATATGTGTTCTTTAGGCCTTCTAGAAAACATGGCATTGTTCCTTTGATGACATACATGTGAATCCGCAAGAAAAGTGATACTGCAGACATCAAGGGAACAGATACGTTTTAAAAAGGAAGGTCCCCGGGACAAGCAGATAGGGTTAATGGTTATATCGCCAGATTCCCACATAGTTGACGGCACAGTTCAAGCCCCAAATCCACCGGCTTGAAACTCATACTGGGCACATGTGCATGCATGCCCAAGATCCCAGGATGAGAATGGAGAAGGGACTGCAGCGTGGCCATCTCTCCTCGGGGTGACTTCTCATTTTCTGTCTCTCTGTCTCTCTGGTGAGAGCATGCGCCCTATAGCAAAAATCTCGCTTAAAAAAAATCTTAAAAAGCAAGTCCCCACAAACGTGGCAAACTGGAAGAGTCTACAGTGTTTCCCAGAATGCTGTTGGTACTGCTAACAAGCTAAGGGCAAGATTCTTGCCAAGAGAAGGTGTGTTTCGAGCACATTAAGCCCTCTCTTAGGGTGCTTAGCAATTTTAGCAGGGAGAGCTTCCCAAAACATGCCAAGGAAAATGATCAGAAAAATAAGAAAACCAAAGAGAAAGGCACCTAGTTCAAATGAGCATGGTGTGCTCCACCCACAAAAGCACTTTGTGAGAACCAATGGAAAGGAGCCTGAACTATCAGAACCTACTCCTTAAGAATTCATGGCATGATAGATTTTAAAAACAAATAAATAAAAAAACTCTAGACTGCTGGGGAAGAAAGTTCTGAGATGGCAAAATTGTGTATTTTGTCTTTGCATTCAAATGGCTAGGCACAATCTCTTCATACACTGGACACTGAGTCATGTATCAGAGACAAAACTGTGTCAGAACCCCAGCTCTGCTCACTTACAGGCTATAATATTTTGCAGTTCTAAAATAGTCTTTTTCTTTCTTTCCTTTCTTTCTTTTTTTTTTTTTTAATTGCCAAGGGTGCATTTGCTTACCAGAGAAGACAGAAAGCATCACCCTCTTCTATGAGGTGTGGTCACGCCTCAATACTTTTTCCTCCGTTCCTCCTTCCTATTGGGATTTTGGGAATGCATGCACACCTGGTGTGTCTTTCAAGCTGCAAGAGCTGATATTCAAGCCATGATTGGCCATGTGGGATCTGGCTCTCTGAACCACTGAGCTATAGAGCCAACTCTAGAATAGTCTTTTAAAGAGCTAAGATGTAAACATTCCATTTTAAAGGAATAAATGTTATGTGACCAAGTACTAGACTTGTTGATTTGATTAAACTGATTTCCATTTGACATTTTGCTGTTCTTTAAAATCTTCAATAAAACATTCCTACCGGGGGCAGCATTCCTACTGGGGGCCTGGTGGTTAAGGTGCTGGATTCCCACATGGCCGACTGTGGTTCTAGTCCCAAATCTGGTGGCTTGCTTTCTCACTGTCCCTTTCTTTCTGTCTGTCTCTCTCTCTGTTGAACACATGTGCCCTATAGCAAATTTAAAAATAACAATAACAGTAAATGAAATTAAATAAGTAATTCTTTAAAAAAGGAAAAAAGAAGTCCTACTGGGGGGCCAGCCAGGTGGCGTGATGGTTAAGGCACTGGATCCCACATGGCTGACTGCATATTTCAGTCTTGGACCCAGCAGTTTGAAAAACACACCAGAAGCTTTCTTGTGCATGGTATTGCAGTATGGCCATCCTCCTGGGGACTGATTTCTTATTCTTCCATCTTTCCCAGTCTCTCTCCAGGGGGCACACTCACCCTATAACAAACTTTAAAAAAATAATAAAAAAAGAGAGAGAGAAGAAAAGAAACAAGATCCTACTGGGGCAAGAGAAAAGCTTTCTGATCTTTAGTTTTCTCACTCATCAACACCTACACTATCTACCTCACAGGGTCACTTCCAAGAGCCAATGAGAAAGTATGTTATATAGCACTTTATAAATGACAAAGTTTAAAGTCAACTATTGGAAACACCACAGTCATTTTCCAATTGGAGATAAGCCAGACTAACAGAGAAAATAAACTTAGGAAAAGGATAGATGAAATTTCTTGAATTTAAAATCTGAATTCTACCACTGAATAGCCAGATGACCCTGAGCCAATTATCCCCAGCAAAATGAGCATGATGACACCTACCTTACATTGTTGTTATGAGGATAAAAGGTGATGTATGTAAAGTGCTTAATCCTGTGCCTAGCAGGTTGTGCTAAACACTCAGCATTTACTATTATTGCAGTAGGTCAACAGAAATATCACAAGTGATCTTGCTTTGTACTAGTTCTATATAGCCTATCATAAGTAGCAGAGACCAGCACAGAATCCAAGCATTCCTTCTAACAGAATTATTTCACATTTCAGAATATGAACCAAAAAAATATTACATTGAGCATAGTTATAACTAAAAATGTGATTAGTCAATAAATGCCCAATACAGACCTTGATATGCAAATTATCAGAGAACTGTTTATACTTTTACTAAACCAATATGCCACTATTTAAACTATAAAACATTTATGGATAAGTAAGTTAAGCTTGCCAGTAAATAAATGAATAATCTGCAGCTATCAGTCAACTGAAGTAACACTGTGTTAAGTAATTTAAAATAGAAACTAAATTCACCTCTTGACAGGCACAAGATTCATAATAGCTAGTGATTTCTAAATGTGTTAGTCATATTGTTCCCTTTAAATTATAGGCAAAGTATGTATATTTCTGGAATTTGCAATGCACTAGCAATTGATAAAATTTATCTTTATTATTTACCAGAATTTAGATGAGCACAATTCAAAAAAGATGATTTTGTATTTTCTAATAGGACTCTTTGAACTTGGCTTTGTTCTCTTTGAAAAAAGGTATTCTTTCCCTCAAAGGAAGGTCACATTTTCAATTAAAAACTCAAGAAACAATTTAATAACATGAAACAAAGAAATATATTTTAGTATCCCTGCTTTTATCCAATCATTTCTCAGAATGTAAGTGAATGTGACAAAGCAATAACTACTGATCCAATGTCCAAAATGGTTCCCTGAGTCAAATAAGTGAATTAAACGACACCTATCGGAGGTCAAGATACTGACACTAAATCTTTCTTTACTCTATTTCCAAATATAGCTCTCTCCTCAGTTTTTCAGTAGAGAACCACATTTCTCACTTCCTTTAATTTCCTTAGTAAAAGGACTCAAAGCTTCATGAGCAGGAGCAATGACTAGCACTCATTAGCCAAAAATCCATTTCTACATGCACATCATCTCCCTGTCACCACAGACTCTCTGCTTTCCTCGTATTCAAATGATTATTCCATACCTCCCACAGTCCAATCCTTTACTTACTGCATTTCCTCTATCCAAAGAGCATTTCACCCTTGAAATTCTGTGGTCACTTGCCAATTTGCTTGCTTTCTTTGAGCTATTCATCCTCTGTTCAAACTAATACAACTCAAACTCTTCCTGATTTGGCGGCTAATCACTGTACCAAGCTGAAGCAGAGCACACTGGTCAATTCTGTCTGAGGTGGGTCTCCAAGGAGACCAATCTTTATGTCTTAAAAATGAAACCCACATGGGGACCAACAGATGGTATAATGGTTATGTTGCTGAACTTCCATGTAGTCAACCACAGTTTGAGTCCCAGACCTGGTGGCTTAAATTCACGCAGGGCATGTGTGAGAGAGTGTGTGTGTGTGTGTGTGTGTGTGTGTGTGAGTGTGTGTGTGTGTGTGCCCAAGATCCTGGGAGGAGAATGGAGGAGAAAGGATTATGGCATGGCCATTCCCCTGGGGTATGATTTCTAGCTTTCTGTCTTGTCTCTCTGGAGAGTGCATGTGGTGTTATAGCAAAAATCTCCGTCTCTAACAAAAAAAAAAAAAAAGAAAGAAAAAGAAAGAAAAAGAAAGAAAAAGAAAGAAAAAGAAAGAAAAAGAAAGAAAAAGAAAGAAAAAGAAAGAAAAAGAAAGAAAAAGAAAGAAAAAGAAAGAAAAAGAAAGAAAAAGAAAGAAAAAGAAAGAAAAAGAAAGAAAAAGAAAGAAAAAGAAAGAAAGAAAGGAAGAAAGAAACCTATATGAAAATCAAAGTGAGGGCAAATGACAAACTGAAAAATTGTGACTAAGATGTTTTCATAATACAGAGGCAAGAAAACCACTTTGCAAAATGTGGTCTATTTTGATATACAATAACAGCTATAATATCTTTTAAATTCATAATCCAGAGCAAAAAGATTATCACTAGAAAGACAACCTTTTTTGGTTTTATAAACAAAACACTCTACTAACACCTTTTAAATTAATGACTGACTAAACAAACATACTTACTTACATTTTTGAATAGTTGCTCAGCAAGTTCTCTGACATGCTTTATCATCTTCAAAGGGTTATTTTCTTCAACTTTAATTCTCTCTACTTCAAAGGCTACCAACTTGCAAAAAGAATCAAATGACAAAACATCAACTCTAAAAGATGAATTTAAAAACTGAGTGATAATTCCATACAATTTGCAAACCAAAAATCAACCAAAATATATGCTATTTTAAAAATATTTTAGTTCTTTACTTGGTTTCACCTAAATTCAAGATTAGAGCAACAGCTGAATCTTTGGATTGTCTGGTCATCCCTCCCAATGATTTAGAGTCCTATTTCTTCTTGGGAAAAGTTGGGAATCAAACTCAGAGAGAACCTGCCCTTCTACAGGCTTCACTCAGAGAAATTCAGAAAGTTTCCAAACATGTCCCTGACTCACAAAATATGAACCAATTGCTCAATTTAGGTTGCTCACTCTAGTCCTAGCTCTGCTTACAGTATGATCTGGGACAAGTCCCTTCAATTCCTGAGCTCCAGTTTCCTTATCCCTAAAAGAAGATGGAAGATAAGAAGGCCTTTAGGTTCTTCCTAGTTCTATTAACTATTGACTGAAAGAATGGTGTGAACATGTACACTCAGGGTGGAGAAAAGAGTGCTGAAAGAGAAACACTGTGCAAAGATATGGCTAATTTTTTTTAAAGGTATAATACAGAATTTTTCTTACGAGGAATAATACATTTATTGGGGCAGATGGACATATAAAGGTATGGCTTTGCCTATTCTGGGCCCAGATTCAGAAAGATTGTCAAAGATAACTTGTTTTTCATTCTTAGATGTACATTTGATAGGCATATGAGGACAAAACAAGGTACAATGCAAGCTGCCTCTGAAAGCTAGGACTGTAAGCAGCTGCCCTTGGCTAGGTGAAGACAAGGATATCTTTCCCTTAAATAGTAAATGCTATTTTCCTACAAAAGCACATTCTCATGCAAATGGCCAAAGAGCATAAAAAGAGAAAGAATTTCGATTTTATGCCTCATTTCTCTTGACTGATATATAACGATGACCATTGGGCTTCTAAGTAAATATCAGTAAGTCACTAAGTTGCCTTAGTAGGTAGACCAGAGACCTGGATGAACACTAAGGGGAAAGCCAACAGGAATCTTGGACAGAGTCCCTGCCTTAACACTATTTCTAATCTAGCAGAAACATATTTATATATATTACATAGTATATAAAACAAAAAATAAGTAACCACATACAATTAGTTATAAAATGTAGATTAATACAGTCTAGTAGCTCTCAGCATCAGCTAGCTCTGTGAAAGTGTGCAGGAGACAGTGAGATGAGATCAGAGCGTGAACAGTTTCTGGTCCACTGTAAGAGGAGAGCCCTCCAGGCAAGGGGAGGACCTACAAAAATAGAGGCTGTGGCAAGTGAGTTTTCTATAAGTAATCAATCTCATTTTTTATTTATTTTTTTGAGAGAAAAAGGGAGACCCTTTGAGAGGGTGCCATCAAGCCATGATCCTCCTGTCTCCAGTCTCCTGATTAGTAAGGGTTACAGGCACCACTCACTGCTCCAGGACTGTTTAGTCTGGGTCAGGAACAAAACAAGGACCTCCTATGTGGCCCTAACCTCACACAGTCAGGCAGTAGGGACTTTCTGCCTCTACCAGTGTGCCTACGCCCTAATCTCGCCTTTTAGTTGTGATAAAGCTGTCAGAGAGAGTTGGAAAGGGAAATTTGAAAAGAAAAGAATACAAAGCCAATGTTTCCATTCATAAAGCTTCAGAGCTTAACAGAATGCAGAAGAAGGAAAGATCCTGGAGAACATCTAATTTAACCCCATAAAATATTATGTACCAACTACTTAAGTTCAGAATCTAAAGGCTGATACACATGTTCGAATAATAGGGCCAATCATGTCAAATGTTATAACAGAGAATTAATGACCTATAATAGACTAGAAAGGACTGTTCATCTCAGGATAATCTCTCTTAAATCTTCATTTGTTTTGCTTGTGGTGAAGGTCTTCATCCTGACAAATAAGACGTGTGCTACTTCTTTAATTCTTACCTGTCAACACTTTAAAGAGAATAAAAGATTCTTTTCCTCTAAATCAAGGATTTTTAAGACATCTCCTCAATGGAAAATAAAATCATCAGCAGCAAAATATGACCAATATTACTATTCTCCATTACCTTGGGCACTATACGCATTTTGTTTATTTATTGATTTCAAAGAACTTTTAGATTTAGTGGTTGTGATACATTGTACTTCTAGAATAATATTCCTTGCTCTGTCTATCATAATGGGATGATGTGAAAAGAGTTAAATGATAAAGGAAAAGATGCTTAGAAAAAAAGAAAGCATGATAAATGCAAAATAATCTTATTTTGAGTCACATCAGCTCTATTTCTTGGTTTATGTGGATAGTTCCTTGAAAATACAAACTAAATCTGTCTTCCATATATTTAATATCTCCTAAGGGAACTAGGCAAAAGTTGAGTATTGATTAGTAAGCATGCTACAAAGTTCAACTATGGCTCTATACACTGAGAGACTAAATGTAATCTCAGTTTAAAGTCACATATCTTTGTATCAAAATGAGATCTTTCTCCTGATGAGATTAATATTATTATCTTCAAAAATAAGAGTTTTATTTATATAATCACTGTCAAATTTCCAAAAAATTAATCAGTCACTTAAAATTCAACTAAAAATATATGTACTTTTAAGACATTCTGTAATTTTTTTCTAATTTTTCTCATCTACATTATAATAATATAATATCAAAACTTAATAAGCATAAGTAATATTTAGATATTTTATATTCAACTTATATTTATCATTTTGAGTAAATGCTAAGAAAAATAATTCTCTACTTTCAATTACTAGTCTATGTCGACAAATAATGCATTCTTTTTATAAGAATTATACCTCATCAAAGAGATCACAAGATCTATAGGGAGGACCTCTTTCTGAAACAAAACCTGCAAATGCCATTCCGTTGAGTACTTTAGTGAGGAAATCATTTTCAAGCAAACCACGCTGCCCCAAGAAAGCTGTCTGTAAAGAAAGAAAATGTGAAATGATCATTTATCACTTGGTAATGAACAAATGCTCAAAACAAAAATATAATAGAAAGCTCAAAGCCTGTATAAATGCCTTCATGTACAAATATAGGTTGTTATTAAATATATTTCTCTCAAAAAGGTTTTTTTTAATATCTGAAATACTGCAAAATTGGAAAAAAATAAAATTCAATCTATATGTAAAGCAGGAGGAAAAACTATAAAACAAAAAATAATTTAAAGTGAATATCCTCTAAAGGAAAAGATTATGTCAGTTTCATAACATACTCACATGTTGCTTAATGACAGGAGTACATTCCGAGAAACCGTGGTTTGGCAATTTTATCATTGTGCAAATACTGTATCATTGCGCAAAAATTGGTATAACTTGCTATGTACCTAGGCTATATGATTAACCTATTATAATTTTAGGAGACCACCACTGCATAGTTCATTGTTGACGAAAACATCATTATTCGCTACATGACTATGTTAAGAAGAATTGTCATTTAACCTCATAAATAAGAGATTTTAAATCACTGCATTGGATAAATTAAGGTCAAAAAACATGACTAGAATAGTTATTAAAGTAAAGTCTACATTTTGAACAGATACAACATGGTATGGTATCTTACTTTGTGAAAATGTATTACTGGCTCCGCATGAATTCTTATAAGCTGTAGGCATGATCTATATCCTTGGAAAAGTTGTGCAAATAATCTAAGGAAAACTGCTCGCACTTCTTTATCCTGAAAACAGAAGAAGAAACATGCTAGATAATTTAACCTCTTAAAACACAAATGAAATACCACCAAGTCAAAAGGTAGAAAGAAAAAAATTGGAGATAAAAAAAAAAGTCGGTTGTCCTTTCTACACCCAAGTCTTATATGTGGCAGTCCTGAGTGGTGAGTGTTTGTCCATCCCATCACTGGGCAGCAAGATCTGTTACATCCTGGTCATCGGGAGAGTCATGACACATTTTTGCATAGAAAAAACACAACATGACTTTCGCAACGACCCAATAGTTTTTACATTGAACCATATAAAACTTGCCTCTAGTGTATCCAATTTTTCTGTAGGAAAAAAATAAGTCACAGAGTCTTCTCTTTTACAATATTAAAGAAGAGGATATATCCCCAGTCGTTTAATTTTTATATCCATCAAAAAACTTACAGCCTCAAGTATAAAAGTAAAAATTTTCAAAAGATTACATTCTAAAAGCTTATGAAATTCTTTCACAGTTTATCCAACTTATAAAGCTCTATTCTCATATTATTAAGGTATGACTTTAAAAATCTGTTTTCGATAATCCAGGTTTTAATAGAATCACAGTTTTAAAACAGAGGAAATTTGGAGATTTATGTAGTCAATCCCTTATTTAATTGATGAAGAAATGAAGGTCAAGAAAGCCTAAGTTATTGGTCAAAGGTGTCCTGCTCTGGGAGTTCTTTATTGGCCCCAAAGCTCACCGTAAGAAGTGCATTGGGTGGGACCAGCAGATGGCATAGTGGTTAAGTTGCTGGACTCCTACATAGTCCACCGCGTTTGAGTTCTGGACCGGGTGGATTACAACTCACACTGGGCACATGTGTGTACGTGACCAAAACCACGATAGGAGAAGGGATTGCGGTATAGTCATCCCCCCTGGGGGGGGGTGATTTCTTGCTTTCTCTCTCTGCTGCTCTCTGTCTCTCCAGTGAATACACGAGCCCTACAGAAAAAAATCTCTTAAAATAAGAAAGAAATTTACTGGGCAAGCCTCCATCATACAATCACTCTTACATAACTTTTAATTGGAACTATTGGGTTGTTGGGAAAGTCTTGACACAGTTTTGCACACACACACACACACAAAACCCAGAAAAATACATCAGGGCTTTCCCAACAACCTAGTATTTTCAACCACTTAATCCTCAAACTTGATTCTCTACTATTATCAATATTCTTTGTTCCTATTTTTGTAAACTCCACCTCACCCACTTTTTAAAAAATTACTTGGCCCTTTCAATCTGATGCTCGTTGGCACGGTTTTCCAGGCAGATTTCAGTTCTGGTTTTTGAGACCAGCAGTTAGCGTAATGGCTATGTCGCTAAACTCCCATGTAGCTAGCTCTGGTTCGAGTCCCCGAGTCGGTGGCTTCAACTCATGCCGGGTGCGTGTGCGTGCGTGCCCAAGATCCCGAGAGGAGAATGGAGGAGAAGGGATTGTGGTGTGGCCATCCCCCCTGGGGGGTGATTTCTCGCTTTTTATCTTTCTGTCTTTCTGGTGAGTGCACGCGCCCTATAGCAGGAAATCTCTCAAAAAA